GAAGAGGTGCTTGTGACCTGAGCATGGCAGGGGGTCTCATCCTAGATACCACCCTCCCCCATTAGAATCTGTGGAGCAGAACTGAGCTCTTCCTCACAGATAAACAGAGTAGCTCATGGTGCCACCAATTTAAGCCCCTACAGTGTACTTTGTACAAACGATCACTTTTCTCTGCAGATGAGCCTGTCTGAGGGGTGGATAGAGGTGGAGTTTTCCATGTTATGCTGACACTTGAAACCAGACAAAGGCTAGAGTCCATTTCCCATAGCCACACCCTGCGCCTTGGAGCAACACTTGTGCCCTGGCCTGGGGCCAGTCCTAGCGAGAGTTGGGGGTGTCACTGTGAATCACTGTCTCTCAGCAGATTCTGTACTGCTCTGAAATATGTCCTGTTGTCACTTCAGTTTAGACACCCAGAAGCCCCCCTGCAAAGGCAGGGAGAGGGAGGGCTACCAGTTTGTGTGCAGCTTGGGTGCCCAGAGCCCATGAATGCATGGCAGAGGAAGGGCTGGGGACACTGGGGGCAAATAAGCCCCAGGACTGGGGCTGCCCACAGGGTGGCTAGAGCATTACTCTCTTCAGGTGCACCTGTCCCTGTTTGCTCCACAAGCAAGTGGGCTACACACACCTGCTCTCCCACCTCAGGGAGGAGGAAGAGAAGGCAAAGGGGATGGCCTGGCCCATTTCCTAGACTCCAAGCCAACCCTGTACTCCTCCACACCTTAAACACCAGGGGGAGAGGTGACAGGATCATGGCTGCCAACAGTGTAATTAACCAAGTGACAGAAACATCTTTGCACCTCAGATGGGCAGCTTCAGGGTCTCCAGGCTCAGGATGTGATTTTGTATGTTTCCGGACCACGAGATGGGGAGATGCCTCCAGTGAGCCATCCTGCAGTTCTCTGGGACAGTACAGAACAGATGGTTTATAACCCTGCTCATCAGGGAGTGAACCCAGCTCCAAACCTGCAAAGCACCACAACGCACACCCCTCCCGTGGGAGCCCTAGTGGGACTATCACAGGCACAGGGCTGACCTCATCCTTCTCAACATCCCTACTATGGTGCTTATGTTATTTTTTTTTAATGTTCTGAGATTTTATCAATTACTGGGTAATATGAACACACCACTAGCTTCATAGGAAGCCAAAATTTGAGCTGCTAAGGCTTAAAAAAATAGATAACTTTATCATCATGGTTTTGAACACAATGATGAAATTTGTGCCCTGAAAGTTTTTTTGTGTACAGTGGGCCTATTCAGGGGGGAAACAATGCACCTTTTAAAATGTGTTTATGTAACACATGGCATTTGATACAGTGGAGCTTTAAATCCCACAAGGATGGGGCTGTGAACAGCTTAATTTTTTTTCTATTGTGATGCCTTACACAGGCCCATGTGCTTGGTAGAGAAACTTAATGAAGATTTGTGAAAACAAGGTCTTCAGTAATGTATATTTGATGCCATTGCCAAGGTGATATTTCCTGACATAGAATGAGTTTTTCAGGAAATACATGGAATTATTATTATTGTTAAAAAATTTCATTAACATGTCAGGTAACAACTGATGAAACATTATGTTTTGATTTTTAAGTTAAAATGACATGTAACTAAGTCATGTTCTACGTTTCCTGCCATTAAGAAGGAAAACCTGGGGAGAGAGCGGCTCACTGGCAGCTTTCTCTGGGCGATGAGGGAAGGTGCCCAGTGGAGGCCATGCGGCTCTGGCAGCAAATGAGGGAAATGCACCCACCACCATGGGGTGGGGCCCTGGCAGGTTTGGTACCTCTAGGGGTCCGGGTCCTCAGAGGAGATTAAATGAAGTCAGGTAGGTCAGTGCCTCCCCTTCCCTCAAAAGGAAGGATCAGCCAAGGGCAGGTAGCATCTTCACCCCAGAGTGGGCCCACCACACCTGCTTCCGGTGTGTAGGCTGCTCCTGCGGGCACCACCCTCCACCCACTCCTCAGTGACTGAGCCCCTCTTTGAGGAAAAACACTGTAAAGCAGCTGGCACCCAGGGTCACCCCCCAAAAAGACTCTGAACCCCAGGCCCGTTGAGCCACATTCCCAACAATTTCAATTTTTAAATCATTTACTTCAAAACTCACCCAAAAGCAGAGATTTCTGGAAAACTTGGGTGGCCAGGAGCAAGCAATACAAATGCAAGTGCTCCAGATGCTGCCAGCTGCATATAAAAGCTCAGGGACCCCACCCCACCTGATATGGCTGCTTCACTGACCAGGGCTGGAACTCCTGGTGCTCCTCGCTCATGAAGGTGTTGATCTTTCCAGGGCCCAGGATCTCTGAGGATGACAGTGAAGACTGAGCGGTGAGGGTTCAGGTCCCTAGCAGGCTGATCAGAGGGGACATCCGGCTGGGGTTGTATGGGGACAGCGCTCATTGTTCAGAGCATCAGGGAAGTCAGGACTCTTGCCAGGGTCCCCTAGCCTAGGGGCCAGAATGAGCCTGAGCCTAGGACCATCTGCTCAGCAAGGTGACCCAAGTGAAAAGGAGGTGGGGAATGTTTGTCCTTTGGGTTTGCAGAGCAGGAACCCAGGCTCATGTTGTCACAGAAGTGATGGTTCTCATTTGTGGAGTCACTGCGTTTGCAAAGCGGGGTGTCTTATCTGTTCTCTCGAGTCCCAGACACTAAGAAAAGCAAAAAACAAAATTGTACCAAGTGTTTATATACATTGTTCCTCTAGACAAGGATGAAAATGAAGGAGTCTGTATTACTTTGAAATGTACCCATCTGGCCGGTGACCCTTAAGGAGGACTACCTGGGAAAGGTGTCACCTGTCCAGTCAGAGGTGACTTCCTGAGTCATCAGCTACAAAGTGGAAGGCAAAGCCACAGGCACAGAGGAAGTCAGGAGTCCTGTGGTTTGTCTTAAAAATGATTCTTATGCTTTATTCCCATAAGAACCTGAGTAGCTAAAACAAGGGAACTAAATAGATCATGTCCACTTATAACCTTTTACTCCTTGTTTTAGTGACTGTCTTGTCCCAGTTGGCAGGAATAAGCCTTATACTGCATTAGAAAATGTAAGGGACCTGTAGGTTACCGGGAAAATACCTTCCTCTCTGAGGCAGTTTCCTTGCAGGGAGCAGTGGTGTGTCAGAGCTGTGTCGCTCTCAGGGTCATCTTCTGGCTCCCATCTAGTTCAGGAGGCTGCTGACACCTGTGCTGTGTGGGCTGTAGGGTTGTGGGAAAGAAACTTAACAAGACCACCCCCCCATGCCCCAGGAGCCCCCTCACTGCCTGTGTCTTGTTCACTGCCTCCTTGCTAAGGACACCGTTGTCATGAGAACTTATTAAATCATTGTGAGGCACAAAAAATTGCTTTCTTAAATTAAAATATAAACTTGACACCACCTCACACCCATTAGGATGGCTACAAAAAAAACCCAGAAAATAACAATTGTTGATGAAGATGTGAAGAAATTGGAACCCCTGCACACTATTGGTGGGAATGTAAAATAGTGCAGCTGGTATGGAAAACAGGATGGACGTTCCTCAAAAAGTTAAAAATAGAACTACCATATGATCCAGCAATGCCACGTCTGGGTATGTACCCAAAAGAATTGAAAGCACGTTCGTGAAAAGACAGTTGTACCCCATGTTAGTAGCAGCATTATTCACAGTCATTAAAACATGGAAGCAGCCCATATGTCCACCAGCCAAATGAATGGATAAACAAAAGGTAGTCCATACATACAATGGAATATTATTCAGCCTTACAAAGGAAGGAAAGTCTGACACATGCTACAACGTGGATTAACGCTGAGGACATGACACTGAGTTAAATGAACCAGATATAAAAAGGCAAATATTGTATGATTCCACTTAATGTGAGACACTTAGAGTGGCCAAATTCAGAAAATAGAGGGGTGGTTGCTAGCAAGTTGGGAGGCAGGAATAATGGGGAGTTAGTGTTTAATGGGGATGGAGTTTCAGTTTTATAAGACGAGAAGCTCAGGAGATGGATGGTGGTGATGGTTGCACAACAACATGAATGAACTTAATGCCACTGAACTGCAGACTTAAAAGTGATTAAAGTGGTACATTTTGTTATATGTATTTTCCTACAATAAAAAATTTGGAAAATAAAAAGTATTGGGGAAAAAATGTAAACTTGACACTAATATTGAGCACGATGCTGGTGTAGAAAGTTCTGTTTGTTTGTAGGTGGCAGGTTGTAACTAAAACCCAGTGTGTCCCAGATTCTCTGCACCTTGCTCCTCATTTGGGCTGCATGTGCTCATGGGTGCACAGTGGGCGTCCCTTCCCTTACTTCACCCTCATAAATGTCGTTGCAGGGGAACCCACTTAGACCTCACTCAGTGAAGGAGCTTGGCCAGCAGTGGGCAGGTATCAGGATGTTGCCGTTATTTTTCCATGTGTCTACCAAAAATCCCCTTCTTCCCTGGCAACACTTGGCTGACTGTCAATCTATTTTACTAGTGTAACCTAGTAAAATATTTGTAACTTAACAAATGTTAACTGAAAGCCAGGTTTCTCCAAGAGGACACAGGAATATACAGAAACCTAGAATGAACAAATGCATTGATGCAGTGGAAGGTTGGGTAGCAGGCTCAGGACATCCTGTGCCCCAACTGGTAAAATCACACCTCTGAGCCACCGTCTTGGCTTCCAGAAACAGGGCCATGCCTGGAGGAATCAGGCTGTTCTGTCTCATCAGAGAAAGTAGCTCCTGTGTGAAGCGCCTGTGCGAGCTACTATAGGGGGGTGAAGGCAGGGTTATCCTGCCAAGAGGTTTCCAGAGGCTGGCGCCACATGGAAAGCTCCCAACCATTTACCTTTCTAAGGGAGTAACCTAGAACCACCCCCTGTGGAGAGGCAGATTTGAAATATGTCATCCTGTGTAAAACCCAGAGACAGCTTGGGAAGACAGAGTTTGACAAAAGGAGAGAGTTATGTTGGCTGTGCCCATTTCCTGTTGCGAAGTTAATTATTGGCATGTCTGCTCCTTGCCCCATGAAGGTCTCTCTAGTTTCCTCACTCCGGCCGCTGTCTCCAGACCATTTGAGCGATGCCACTGTCTCCCCCCGGACCTCGGACAGCAGCCTGGCGCCTGTGGCTGACTTCGACTATCCCCCAGAATTTTCCTCCTGCCTGGACAACTCTGCGGCTAAGCACAAGCTACTGGTTAAGCCCCGCAACCAGCGGTCAAGCAAAATGAGGCGGCTGTCTTCGGTAATTTGGCTTCTTCCTACACACAGAGGCAGGGTTGGCCGGCTTGGTAGCCCCCATCCCATCCACTCCACCTCTTTCCCCTTTAGGGTCACCTGCCCCCTCCAAGAATCCCCCATGGTCAGTGGGACCGTGCTGCAGGAACTGGAGTTGCTCATCTTTTTCAACATAAATTAGATCTGTCTTCCCTCTGCATAAACACCGCATTCATTCATTCATTCATTTGCTCTGCAACACCTACCAAGCCCTGCTATGTGCAGTGGGTCCACTGCCTTCCAGGTGCACTCAGTGTGATGTCCACACTCCAGGCCTGGCATGACCTGGCCCTACCTACCTACCTCTCAGACTTCCCCTTAGGCCCCCTTTCTCACTCAGCACATTTTGGCTTTCCTTCTGCTTCTGGAGTTCCCCAAGCTGCCTCTGGCCTCAGGGCTTGGTACATGCCGTATCTCCTGCCCCAGACACTCTTAGCCTTAGGGCCTCAGCTCAGAGGCTCACCGGACCGTCCTGTGGAAGGCAGCTGCAACTTCCTGTCACCACATTCACTGCCTTCATAGCACTGGCTGCACACAGAAGTGACCTTGGTAAATGCATGTGCTCACTTGTTTATTGCGTCTTCTTTGAGACCTTGTCCAGCTCTACTTCCAGCCCTAGAGCGATGCTAGTCACAGAGCCGCCATTCAGTAAACATTTGTGGGATAGATGAATGAATGAACAAAGAATGAATGAGTGGATGACAGAAGAAGCTGAAACACTAGTGCAGACACCTGCCTTGGGTGCACAGGATTGTGCTGTGTAAGGACAGACCGCCCTTGGCATGTGCGATCTGCGGTGATCATCAGCTCTTAGTTCTGGGAGCCCAGGCCTCATGTAGAGAGTGCTTTGGCTTCATAGTGCTGGTGCATCAGGGGGCTGTGCAGTGTTGTTTCCCCTCCGCTGCCTGGTGGTGCCTGCAGTGCCTCACCCCTGGAGGAGCTGAGAGCCAGGGTATGGGGCCAGCCTGGCCACAGAGAGTGACCGTGCTGAGGAGGAGGTGCTTACAGACCAACATTCTCTCCCTCCTTCCCTCCAGATAAGATTGTGGGGTGTTGATGAGGTACGCAGGAAGCTAGGTGCTTCAGCTGGAGACAGTGGGTGGGGGCCTCTCAGGATTTCAAGGGCTCCCTGGAGAGAGAGTGGGCTTTCCCCTGGGCATGTGGAAGGTACTTTTTAAACTCATGCCAGCAAGGTTGACTTTTGAGGGGACCAGTGCTGGAGGAAGAAGTGAGCTGTGGTGACCTTCAGGCTAACGTACAGGCTGGGACCTGGGCACTTGTATAAATGTTAGCACATGCGGTGCATTTACTGTTAAAGGCTTATGTGATGGGGACAGACATGGCAAAATCCAGTAACTCTGACCTCATGCTGAGTAGGGCCACAGGCCAGGAACAGAGCCAGCTCCCTTTGGATCTCAAGTCTGGGCTTGATTCCCATGGGGATGTCTTCTTCCTGGGCAGGGGGACGTGTGGCCAGCCACAGCCTGGCTGGGACTTGGTGGCAGAGAGAAGTGGGCTCATCCTCCTGGTGGAAATGCAGCTTCTCCTCTCATATCCCCTGCACAGAACTGTACCACGCTTGCTTTCTTTACTTTTGAACTTAACTCTTAACCCCATTTTTTTAGAATAACAGAAAATCTAATTTAGTCAGTCTGGCACAGTCATTTCTTAATTTAAACTGTCATTTCCATATTGTCCCTTCCTTTTTCCCTTCCCTTCTTGGGAGGGAGCAGTCATGGATACCTTAGGTTTTTGGAGCCATCCTGTATTTTCCTGACTGGGCAGAGGTGTCTGGCCAGTGGTCATCAATGTCACTGTTGGGTCCTGAGTTAGAGGCCTCTAGCCTCCAGTGTCCACAGCCCCCTTTGGTCATCAGGTCCCTCTTCCCAACCATGAGGACCTCCTGGGGCCCCGGCCCCTCTCAGGGACCAAGGTGCTTCAGATGTGCTCATTCTACTCCAAGGGTGAGGACTGCCGCCACACTGCCTGCTCTGCCTAATCCTGGGGACTGCTGTGAGGGGACAGCGAGGTCTAAGTTTGCTGTGCTTTTCTGATCCTCCATAACATGCAGTTTCTTTCTCCATCACCTGCCAGGCCTAGGCATCTTCAGAGTCTCCACTGAATCTCTTCCTACTGCTGCCCACGTTTGGTTCTCCGTCTGGGCAGGGCAGTGGTCATGGCCTGGCCAGGCATTCTCTGACTCTGTCATTAGTGCAGTGAACTCTCAGGAAGCTAGGTGCTTCAGCTGGAGACAGTGGGTGGGGGCCTCTCAGGATTTCAAGGGCTCCCTGGAGAGAGAGTGGGCTTTCCCCTGGGCATGTGGAAGGTACTTTTTAAACTCATGCCAGCAAGGTTGACTTTTGAGGGGACCAGTGCTGGAGGAAGAAGTGAGCTGTGGTGACCTTCAGGCTAACGTACAGGCTGGGACCTGGGCACTTGTATAAATGTTAGCACATGCGGTGCATTTACTGTTAAAGGCTTATGTGATGGGGACAGACATGGCAAAATCCAGTAACTCTGACCTCATGCTGAGTAGGGCCACAGGCCAGGAACAGAGCCAGCTCCCTTTGGATCTCAAGTCTGGGCTTGATTCCCATGGGGATGTCTTCTTCCTGGGCAGGGGGACGTGTGGCCAGCCACAGCCTGGCTGGGACTTGGTGGCAGAGAGAAGTGGGCTCATCCTCCTGGTGGAAATGCAGCTTCTCCTCTCATATCCCCTGCACAGAACTGTACCACGCTTGCTTTCTTTACTTTTGAACTTAACTCTTAACCCCATTTTTTTAGAATAACAGAAAATCTAATTTAGTCAGTCTGGCACAGTCATTTCTTAATTTAAACTGTCATTTCCATATTGTCCCTTCCTTTTTCCCTTCCCTTCTTGGGAGGGAGCAGTCATGGATACCTTAGGTTTTTGGAGCCATCCTGTATTTTCCTGACTGGGCAGAGGTGTCTGGCCAGTGGTCATCAATGTCACTGTTGGGTCCTGAGTTAGAGGCCTCTAGCCTCCAGTGTCCACAGCCCCCTTTGGTCATCAGGTCCCTCTTCCCAACCATGAGGACCTCCTGGGGCCCCGGCCCCTCTCAGGGACCAAGGTGCTTCAGATGTGCTCATTCTACTCCAAGGGTGAGGACTGCCGCCACACTGCCTGCTCTGCCTAATCCTGGGGACTGCTGTGAGGGGACAGCGAGGTCTAAGTTTGCTGTGCTTTTCTGATCCTCCATAACGTGCAGTTTCTTTCTCCATCACCTGCCAGGCCTAGGCATCTTCAGAGTCTCCACTGAATCTCTTCCTACTGCTGCCCACGTTTGGTTCTCCGTCTGGGCAGGGCAGTGGTCATGGCCTGGCCAGGCATTCTCTGACTCTGTCATTAGTGCAGTGAACTCTTTACTCCACATCTTGTAGACTCTGAATTTTTTGGAGCTCCAGGGGAAAAAAGGGGATTTCTTACCTTAAAAAACCCCATCTTGCAAAGTAAAACAAAAAAATCTTGGCTATCAAGACTGTGACATTTATTACAAGTTTGAAAAACACATCCAAGAGTGCATTTGGCTGAGTCTGTCTGTCTCCACCAAAGCAGAGTTCAGGAAAGAGAAGCACACAGAAGACAGACGATGGTTGTTATCTGAGCATATTACCCCACTGTCAGAACTGTGCCCTGTGTGTGGCTCTGACGGAACACCCGGAAACATTCATGCTGACCTCTCACCACCCAGGCGGGGCCTCATCCCAACCCAGGCAGAGCCAGGAGCAGGGAATAATAACTCTGAACAGAAGCAGCATGATTCAATGACTAGCCCAAGGTCACAGAGCTGGCAGAGCTGGCAGCTGCAATTCCCAGAGCCCAGACAGAGATTGACCCCACTTCTCCACCCTGGCACTGCTCCCTGGAGGTGTCCTCTGCCCAGAGATGACAGGGACACTAACCCAAGACTCCATTTCTGGCAAGAGGAGACAGTCTCCAGCTTGGGGCAGGCTGAGCAATGGGTCCTCAACTTCCACTTCCTCAGGGGGCGCTAGGGTGTGGAGCTGCTATGAGGGGGCCAGAGAAGGGGTGAGAGGGAGACGTCAGACACAGAGTGGGCGTCCGTATGTATCCTTGCTGTACCTGGCCAGAGAGGCCGACCTAATCAGAGGCCACTTTGTTCTCTGCTCAGCGTTGGAGTCCACCCTCCACACCAGCTTTCATCCTGCCTGGCCATTCCACTCCTTGTAGCTGCCAGTGTTTCAGGCTGGGATACACCCAAGCCAAACCTGCTCCCCAGCTTTATGCTGACTTACCGTGGGTTCCAATAGTTTTAAAACATGACCCACAACCTAAAGAAGTGTCAACATCAATGATTTCCTGCAGTAGCAAAAGGCCCATTAAAGCCTTTTGAACCTATAGGTTTTGAAAATTCTGGAGATTTCTTTGCACATCTGCCTCTTTTTTAAATCCTGAGGAATAGGATTATGCATCTTGGCAAGAGCTGGCTCAGGTATTGTCACTAACATCTCAGTTGTCTCGTATTCTGTCAGCAAGCAGATGCCAGATGGAAAATGTTAAAATAACAACAGGAAACAACAACAAAAACCTATTGCAAACACTCCCTGAGCATATTTCCTAACAAAAGGGGAAGGAGAGAAGTGTGCTTGGGTGACAGCTATGGGACTCTTAAGTCCAATGTCATGAACTTTTTTAAAAAAACGATCAATCTCAACACCCTCAACCTTAAGGTTGTTTTCACATACTGCTTTTGAATGATTCATGATCACCTCGATTTCCTTTCCTTCCTAAGAGAGCAGGAACTGATTGTATGGTAAGGAGGAAGTTGGACTAAATCTAAATTCCAGAGACCTTTCAGAAGAAAAATGCCACAAGACAGTGTATTATTGTCAGGCCAGTAAGGCTTCAGGAGAGCAGGGAGAGCCATCAGCTTCAGGGAATAGGCAAGGCTTCTTGTCGGAGTAGAAGGTGAGACAGTTCCTAGGGGTGCTGGTAGACCACCCTGGCAGTGTGGAGGAGAGGAGCCAGCCAGTCACTCCAGCCCGGAGTCTGGCACACACAGTAGTGGGGGCTTGCCTTGATCTGAGTAGGGAGTGGGAGAATCAATTGAAGACCGGAGAATTTAGGACTTTAAATTGAGCTGAAAAGTTTGGACTTTATCCTGTAAGTTGTGGTTTGCCATTGACTGTGTATGACATGATATGAACCATCTTTTAGGCAGATCAGTCTGCCTTCACTATGAGGGTGCATCCCTTGAGAGAGGGGGGGAGCATGGAGGTGGCAGACTGGCTCTGAGGCAACACAGGGTCATAGAGAAAGCACCAGCTTTTCAGCTGAGCTAAGTTCAGCCTCTACCAAGGTACGGACCTCTCTGAGCTCTCACTTCTCCAAGAACAAAGTGGGAATAATAATCCTTTCCTCACTGGGACGAAATCAAAGAGTAAATGAAATAGCAGGTGTAGGTTAAAGGCAAGGCAGACACCTGGCTGATTTTGGTCCCCTTCCCTTTGCTTTGCTCTGGAGAGTAGTGTCCTGGGCTTCTGTAGCTCAGCCACAAAAGCCTTAGGCAATATTTAATTTGAGGGCATAGCTGCCACTGTTCTGCTGAAAGCTGAGCTTGTGAGGCAAGATTCCAAGTAGGCCAGGAAGGAAGGGAATAACAAAAGACACCTGCATGTGAATGTCTACTTAAGTGCCAGCTCTAGAGACAGACCACTACGTTTAAACCATATCAAGCCCATAAAATGGGAAAGTTGTAGGCTTACTAATATCTGACATAACCATGCTGTCTTTTGTCTTTTATTTGTCCTAGCGGGCACAGTCCGAATCCCTGAGTGATCTGACCTGCACTCCAGAGGAGGAGGAATGTGATGGGAGGCACTTACCCAAGGTCGGCGCAGAAGAGAACCCGAGTTCTGGACAGCAGGATATGGTACCTGACAGGGGCCCCATGCCAGAAGGACCAGCCACCACTCTGCAATCTGGGGGGCCCCGTGCCAGACGGGCACGCTTGCAGCACTGCCCGGCACTCAGTGCCAGCACTGAAGAGGAGAGTCCCCCTGGGGACAACCCCCCCAGCCTCCCAGCCACCCCAGAGGTCACTGAGCCTATGTTCATCCCAGCCCCCTGTGCAGAGGGCCCCTGTCTGCCAGAGGACTCCCCACAGCCTAATCCTGACAGCGAGAACCAGAGTGAGGCCCTGCCTCTTGCAAGCACATGTCCGCCAGTCGAGGACACAGCTGATGAGGTGTTTTGTGCTTCTGGAGACGCTGACAGTGGATTATCTCCCCACGTCCCTGAGATGGACATGACACCTCCTGAGACCAACCCTGCCACCACCTTGGAGACTCCCTCAGGTCTAGACCCGCCACAGCAAAGTGTGCAGGAGGAGGGAGAGCCGACGCTGGAGGCGCCCGGGACAGAGGGAGCAGGGACAGAGCCTTCCGAGGCCCCCGCGGCAAGCCCCCCAGTCCCCAAGAGCTGCCTGAAGTCTAAGGCCCCGGTGGCCGGCACGCGCCTCCCCGCGCCCCCGACGCCGCCCACGGAGGAGCCCGCGCCCTGTGTCCCGGACGAAGGGGCTGCGTCCCGGGGGCGCCCCGAGGCCGAGCCCCAGCACGCGGGCCCGGCGAGCGGCGCAGTGGAGCGAGGCGGCGGCGGTGGCGAGCAGCGGGGCGCGCGGTTCTCTGTGTCGTCGGGCCGGGCGTGGCCGCGCGCAGGCGGCCCCCTCCAGCTGCAGCGCCCCCGGGCTGGCGGCTCCGGCCCTGCGCGGCTGCCCCTCGGGAGGAGCGGCCCGACCTGGCGCAGCGAGGCGGCGCTCGACGACCTGCAGGCTCCGGCCGAGCCCGACGACGGGGAGCCGGGCCCGCAGAAGCCGCCCTCCCCCTCCGAGCGCGGCCCCCAGGACTCGGGGCCCAGGGCGGCGGCGCCGGCCAGGGGCCCCCGCGTTGCGGCCGCCGGAGACCCCTGCCCGGCCGCGCGCGGGCCGCCCGCGGGTGAGGCCCGAAGCCCCTTCCCCGTCAAGCTGCGGGCCACGTCGCTGTCCTTCAAACACAGGGACGCGCCCAGCGCGGACGTCAGAGGAGTGAAGCGCCTCAGTGCGGAGGTCAGGTTAGAAAAAGGAGGGCTGACTTTGCTCCCGAGGGACGACAAGTGTCAGGCGGGGAAGGCCCCCGGCCCGCGAGGCGCCCGGGCGCCGAGCGACCACGGCAAGGCGAAGGCCCGGCCGTCGGAGCAGCCCGGCGCCAAGCCGCCCCTGCCCAGAAAGCCGCTCCTGCAGCCCCTCACCCTGCCGCCCGCCCCCGCCGCCCCCGAGGCCGGCCCGCGGGAGCCCGGGAAGGCCAGCAGGACGGCGGAGAGGAGGTCGCCGCACAGGGGAGCTGGTAAGAGCTCCGAGCTGGGGAGCGGCCGGGCGTGAGGGGGCATGAGAAGGGGCAGGGCAGAGGGGACCGTGGCAGCTGGGTTACCTTGCTGGGCTGCACAAAACATGTAGCCGCTCGGGGCAAAGAACTGTGCAGGGGAATTGGAAGAAAAAGCTGAAATTCCTCATGGTAACCACTAACGTGTGTGATCAAGAGTTAGGAAGGGAGGAGGGGAAACAAATCCTAGGATGTGGTTGGTGTAAGTNATCCTGGGAGATGTGTGACCTCATAGGTGGAGGCACTCCCTGGGCCTCAGGCACTTCTTGCTTGTAGATGAAGCATCTGCCCCTCTACCAGCTAACATCCTTCTTACCTTTACCCCCAAGGAAGACCTTCTTCCTGTTTAAATGTCAGGCCCAGACTCCTATGGGAAGCATCCCGTATATGGGATCACAAGCCTTTGTAAAATTGTGAGCTCCCCAAAGGGTGAGCATTACCTCCTGGTTCTGAAAAGGAGACAGTGTTAAGATTGGGGCAGAACATAAGAATCTTCTAAAGCAACTGTCTTTTAAAATAAGCAGAGACAAAAATAGATGACCTCCTATATCTTTGACATTTGTCACTTTTTATAGTGTTTCAGATGAAACAGGAATCGGTTGGAAATGCGCATCATCAGCTGGAAATGGGCATTTGTGGTGGAGCTAAAGAAACTGAGTTCTTTTATTGGTGGAAATCGGGGGGCCAGAAATGAAATGACACAAACAAAGCATGTGTGCATGTGATGAGGGCCCTCAAGAGAAATTTTCCATGGAAAATTTTATTTAACAAACAAAATTTTCAGGATACTTTAAGTGGCTACTGGAAGTCCAGGATGCCACCTCAGCACTGCATCTGTGAGGAACTAGAACCCAGGCGTTTTCCTAGGGACCCTGCACCCTAAAAGGAAGATGAAGGGCACATGGACAGAGAAAATTAGTTTATACAAATCAGCGTAAAGACAGGTTCAGAGAAATTCTAATCCTGCTTCCCTCCTAGGAAGTTAGTAATAAGGGCAGTGTGTAAAGTGCTTTAGGGTCCTAAGATGAACTCCAGGGATGCAGGCAGCTCCAGGAAAAACCGTCAGGAACATGCCTTCCAAGAGCCTGGTTTCCGGGCCTCCCTGCCTGGAGCTGCTTGGCTCAGCTGTAACTTTTAGCTGCTGCTGTGCTGTTAGGATAATCAGTAAGGAGCTCTGGGGTAGGTTCCAGCTGTAGCTGATGATCTGCTCTGCTAGTTTCCAGCGAGGTTATTGAAGCAATTGCAGAGTGCTTCAAAAAGCTGTTGAAATAGCAAGGAAGAGGGGGTTTGCTTTGCACAGATAAAAGCCTGATATCAGCACCATCAACCTTCATGGCCTGGAACTGCAAATGTCTCTCAAGGGCTTGCTGGATGAATGGAATGTAAACACAGGACACTCAAGTTCATAGGCAAAACTGGAAAAGAAACTTCAGAGGGCAACACCTGACACATTAATAATTTATAAACTTCCTCAGCCTGCACTGTGTAGGCTTTGTTCGCTGTCAAGGGCCTGGCATGGTCTGTAGTTAATTAAACACCTTAGGCTTTTTTTCCTTTCACTTATACAGTACAACACAGTGTTTATTAACAGCTTTGCTTAAACAGTAGAAGAGAATTGTCCATTTATTAACAGTCTCTAAGCCACAGAAAATAACCAAATCAGATGCACTGCATAGTGAAAGAATCTAGGTTACTTTAGGGGACATGGGTAGTGATTTCAATTTCAGTGCAAAGAGAGGAGGGGAAGAATTGCCCACATTCTGCTGAGAACCAACCCTTCCAAGGGGGCTTGATATTTGAGGGGCAAATGTGAAGACAGGCTGTGGCTGCTATCTGGTTCCACTTAGGACCTTGGGGTCTGGGGGCTGCCTCATGCAGAACAGAGCAAAATCTCAGATTCCATGTTGTCAGACCCCATTACTTTCCCAGACACTGGATCTGCTTAATTAATTATTATTACTTCTGTTATCCTCATTGCTCCCAAAATATAGCAGCTGAAGGCAATGAAATTCATACAAAACATACAGATAACAAAAGTTTTAATAATAGTATCACTTAGTTTTCCAGAAATAACTAATTATTGCTGGTTATTATCTCATGGTGGCAGGCACTTTACCCCAAGTTCCCAAATGAACAGCCATCTCCCCTGTCCCCCTTCCAGAGGCATGAGCCATAAAGTTAGGTTATTGAGGTGTCCTGGATGGGCACACAGTTCTGCCTTGGGGACTCAAGCAGCTTTATCCCAGCATCCCTGCTCATTCCCCCTCCTCTCTTGCATGCCCTGTCTTCCTCTCTGAAGGCATGGAGAAAACCTTCAGTGAATGAGGTAGGGAGGACTGGATGATCATTGGAATAAACAGAGGAGCCCAGCTTGCCAAGTGGGGTGGCCTCACAGGGCCACATCAGGGTGGTTACTGCAAGCCCAGTACAGCAATTGTGGTCATCCATGCAAAGCAGAGCTCTTCATCTGCTCATTTGCCATAGGAGGTGAATGGCCTGGGGTTCTCAGCCTTTTCATTTGTGCAGGAAATGAACCCATCCTGTTGGGCCGGTCCATCCCAGAGTCTAAGTTACAAGTTGGGAAGCAGCTTCCTGTACACAGGATTAGAATTAGAACAAAGAAGTTAGAGATTCTCATGTGGAAAAAAGGTAAAATACAAAATGCATATAGAAAAAAAACAGTCACTTATGTTGGCCTTCCTTCGAGTCTTTGTTCTGGGGGTGTGTGTGTGATTTATTTTTTACGGAGTGTGGTCCTATGTTGGGTATTCTGGAGAACAGCTGAACAGATGGCCATTCTCACCTGGGAGCCTCATTGGATAACCAGCCTCAGCCTCCTACCCAAGCTCACTCCCTGCAGACTGGGCAGGCGACCCAGTCACACACCCAGGCCTCTGACCCTCTTTCTCTCTACTCTAGGACTCACTTGTCCATGCACTCATTCTTTCAACAAATATTTCATGTATTTCTGCTATACACACAGCACTGTGCCAGCCCTCAGAAGGCAGTCAGGAAGCAAACGAGGAAACACACAGGGGCCAAGGAGCTTACCGGCCTGAGAGGGCAGAGCAGCTAGATGCCACATCAGAGAGTGGATAGATGCCCGTTTTGTCTGTGGTTATCAGAGGCACTTTCTGAAGGCAGTGGACTCAAGGACTGCCACCTGCTCTGATGACAGTTCAGATGTGTATTCAGGTTCACTTGTGTTGAATACAAGGGGTTTTTGGAATCACGCTAAAAAAATATATTCGTGTATCTTGAATTCTTAAAGAAAACCAACTCTGTTCAGAATATTTCTTTTCAGCCTTATCCTTCCCTTTGTAGACACCTCTGAGCGAGTGCGGTCAGCACCTGGGCCTCCATTCCTCCGCCTGCCTGTGCTCCTCCAACCACTGTGGGTGTTGTCCCACCCTTGCTTGTCCCCCAGTGCAGTGACCTCTCTTCAGAGCCCCTGCACAGGAAGCATCCCAGATTCACGCCTGTTTCCTGAAGTTCTCTTCCTTTGATGCCCTTGGCCACAGCAGTCAGCCCATCACCTTCGTGGGCATCTCTCCCCAATATCTCAACATCTATGATTCAGTTTATTGACACCTGCCACACCCCAGATCATTTCCCTCATGTATCCAAATCCTCAACCTAGAGTCCTCGGGGTCATTAAAAGTATTTTAAGATGGGAGATACCGAAAAGCCTAAAAATCATACGCACAATCACCTTGTCATCCTACTGCTTTAAAATTACACAAAAAGGAGCTTGCAGTTCTGACCAAGATAAATACACGCCACCCCATCTCTCCCACTGATAAAATTAGGAACTCTGTGTGAAGGAACATCAGAGGTCTCTGAAAGGTAGATGAGAGTCACTCAACCAGGTAGAGAGCTTGGGACCTTGTGATGACCTGGCAGTCAGTGCTGGCGATGAAGCACCACATCCCTCCGCCACTGCCCCTGTGGTATCAGCAACCCCTCAGGCCCGGCTCTTGTGGCTGCCTAGGTCCCTCTGCTGCTTCCTGCCACAACCAGCAGCAGTACCCATACCATGGGACAGCTAGCTAGGCAGTCCTGGCCCTGCTCCAGGGGACTGCCACCAGCTCAGCAGGGCTTCCCCTATGTGCCAGTACTCCCTGCAGGATGGAGCTCTTGATTCCTGCATCCTTGTGCCAGGCAAGTGCCAACAACAAGTTGGAACCTCTTGTCCTGGTGGTAGTGCAGTGGTGTCACTTGTGGGCAGAGCTCTTTCAACCCTTCCAGCCACACTCATGAGCACCAGCAAAGAGGCACCGATATCCACCCACAGCAACACGTGTGGGTCAGAGCCCCGTGACTCTCCCATCACCACTGCAGCAGAGATCCAATAGCAGCAATGGTGTGGTGGGGGTGGCCCTATGGGCTCCTTTGTCTCGCCGCTCTACCGTGAGGTGGTCCCAGCCACGGGATGGCACAGCTGCAGAGGCTAAGCCCTGGCTTTCTAGCTGGAGAGCCCTGGGGAGTGGAAATCACAGCAAGGAGACACCTGAGGAGGGGTTCTTTACATATGTATACAAAGTCCTGGGCTCTTCCCTGAGTTGCATCTGCAGGAACTGAATAGAATTAGCACAGCAGAGCCTTTGAGAAGTAACAGGACTGAGTCTCAACATACTACTCAAAATGTCTAAGATAAAAACCAATATTATTCAACATACAGAGAATCAGGGAAACCTGAAAAATTCTCTAAGAAAAAGGCAATCAACAAACACCAACACTGAGATGATCCAAATGTTAGAATTACTAGACAAAGATTTTAAAGCAACGGTTATGCCATTTTCCAAAAGGTAAGAGTGAGCACTCTTCAAATGAATGGAAAGATAGAAATTCTCTGCAAAGAAATAGAAGTTATAAAAAAATTAACATTTTAGAACAGGAAAATACAGTAACAGAAACAAAACATTTTTTGGGAGAGCTCATTAGTAGAATGGAGACAACAGAGG